ACTAAGATGTACATAAGCTCCAAATTTTAGGTAATTCAGATTTGTAGAAAAAAAATGAAATACTACCAAACAATCGTGACCGTGTGATGAACTTTGGATGATGATGAAGGTAGACGAAATTACAGTTCATTTTTACCTATAGACATTGAGAAGACTTCTCCTTGATAAAATACTCAATGCGTAAGAGTATCCTATACCTCAAGGATTATCTTCTTCTCTCATAAGCAAGAAAATATAGAACGGGAAATATGGGCTTTATATATTAAAAGAGAAAATTATTAAGGGTTCATTTGGACTTTGGAAAATTGACTTTTAAGAATATTTTTGTATACGTCTCCAATATTTTTCAATAATTGACCCCTAAATTGAAGAAGCCTTTAAATTTACTTATCATATTTTTTAGGATTTTTTTGTTTTTTAAATTTTTTTTAATCCTTTTTAAGGGGTATCATCGATTTTTTTGTTTTTTGTTTTTTTTAACCCTTTTTAAGGGGTATCATCTCTAATTTTTTTAAAAGTCATTTTTTAAAGGTAAAAATAAATAAAAAACTGACTTTAGATTTGAAAATTCGAAGTCACATTGACTTCTGTTTTTTTTGGTGATTCAGTAGGGAGAGGGCCCCTACCCTTGGTAGAAATTGAGCTCTGCATACCCTTGGTAGAAATTGAGCCTAGGACGTAGCGTTGCAAAGCATCAAGCAACCAATTAGGCCGGAGCTCATTGACTACATATTTCAAAATCCAAAGTCACTTTAGGTTTTCTAAAAAGCCAAATTTTAAGTAAAACTGAAAGAAAACCAGTGACTTTAGATTTGAAAATCCTAAATTGTCTTCACGTTTTGAAAAATTTTAAGTCAAAACCATGTTGGAAAAACCGGACGATCTAACCGGTAAAGCCCGGTTAGATCGGAGCAGGTTACTGGCTAGTTCCGGTTTTGGCCGGTTTTGATGATCGACCGATATTTAAAAAAAAAAAATGTATATAAAATCTCAAAAATAAGGAATTTGGTTTGTAAAATATTTTTTAATATTCTTTACATTATGGTAAAGATTAGAAATTGCTTTGGTCATTAACACTCGCTTTTATATTTTCCCATCTTTTTTGAAACAATTTAAAAATATCCCTAAGCACAAATCGATTCTTTAAAATCCATTTTTTTTATTAATTTTAAACTTCATTTAAATATGTTTTGTTTTAATCATTCTTTATACTTCTTTTTATTTTTTTAACAAGTTTTTGACTTGTTGGGATTTGTCCTGTTAGGCTAGCTAAACCGCTTACCGGTTAAACAGCTTTCGGTTAGACCGGTTAAACAGCTTCTTGACTTTAGATTTTTAATATCAAAAAGAACATAAAAAGGTGTTATTTGAGGGGTGGATTTTCCGTAGTACAATATTTATATGGGATATACGGGTAAGTTTCTAGAGTTGAAAATAAAAATGAGCTCAAAGGTAGGTAGTAAGGGTGGCAGCAATGTGTTCTATTTCTACCAAAACCCTTCTCTATGGAAGTAACAAAAATAATTAAAAATTAAAAATAGTTAATATATTAAAGAGTAAAAAACAGGTGTATTTCGCTTTCGATAACTCTCCTTAAAATTGATAAAACTGAATTAACTTAGAAGTGTGGGAGTGTGCAGAGTGGGGCCACGCAATATCGTCATGTGGCGCAATTTAAGAAGAAACAACAACAACAACCATTCTTCGTCTGCCGCTATTTCCCAATATGTTGCTTATCCCAACACATCTCGCCCTTAACCCAACACGTTTAAAAACCCTTTTCTTTTTTTTTATAATTATTATTATTATTATTTTTAACAAGAATATTAAATATTATTAAATAAAAGGAACAGTTGGCATACGGATATGTATATCTGTAGCTATAGAGATAAGATGTACCTTCATATTAGTAGCTATAGAGATAAGATGTACCTTCAAAATTTATCATGATTGATAGTTTTGATGCAAAATATTCTTAAGATTACCTCAAAATCTATTTTTATATCTAATTATAAAATTTTAAATTTTAAAGATGATTAAAAGTCAAGTTGATTTATAAACACGTAAAAATCTTGAAAATGGACTGTGTAGATAATATATTGTAAAATACATTATTTTTTAGACTTAGAATCTTTTTATTTTTCATGGTCATACATTTCGATGTCGAGATGATCAATCAAAGGGTTTTTCAACATTAAAACTACCTTTTCCAATAGATTTTTGAGGCGCATCCATAGTTTTACATTATAAGGTTGCATCCTTATATAAACTTTTTTTTTAATAAATTATAATTAAAAAATTAAAACAATACAAGGGATGCAACTAAAGAGGCTAAAAAGACTGACGTCTTTGTCAATTCAACTGGTATTCGCTTCTCTATAGACATGATTGAAAGAGCACCTCCTGTTGTTATTCAACAGGAATTAGCTTCGCTATATATATGATTGAAAGAGCACCTCTTGATCGATGCTAGATTCATTACTTTTTGCCATGAAGAAAGTAACTGCCAAGGAGGTATTGACAAGCCAATGCACCTATTTATGACATTGTTGGAGTCTCCTTCGATGATCAAGTTATCCTCCATGCATTTGTACCTACAAATTAGGAACCCTTGTAACATAGCTACTATCTCTACATGATTAGCCGACACCATTCGACACAGGCCTGCCATCTCCCTCTCTTGCTCTCAACAGTGTAACAGGCATCAAAGTCAAAAAAACATTGGGTAAAGAGATGAAGTTAGTGTTCAAAAAAATCAAACCGGTGTAAAAAACTGGCTAAAGGCCGGGTCCAAGTAATCGACAAATCGGCTGATTCAATTGGTCTAACCGGACAGGTCGTGGCTGTCCTAAAAATATTAAAAAAATAAAAAATACAACCAATTTCTAAAAAATATGAAAATATATTTACAAGGTACGGTTTGTGTAGAACTGAGGCTCTAAACAATCAAAGTAAAACGTACCTTCAAATAGTGTCGAGAAATGTGGTTTTAATACTGAAAATCTTTATCTTAAAAATATTTTTTCATCTTTAATTATAAATTTAAAGCTTAAGAAATAGTGTAGATCGAGCATATCTATGAAAACTTAAAAATCTTGAAAATTGACGACTCAAAAATAGTGTTACAAGATGCACAATTTTCAAAACTTGAAATCCATTTTTTTTCTCATGTCCATGCATCTTGATGTTGAGATGATCATTTTGAATATATTTGGGTATCAAAACAACCTCTTCTAGTGTAATTTTTGAAGTGACCTTGATTGTTTAGAGCCTCGACTATATATAAACTTTTTCTATATTTAAAACAGGATTAACAAAACATATTCAAATCAAGTCCAAAAGTAGTAGAAAATAGATCTTAGAAAATTTATTTCTATTTAGGGAAACTTTTAAATTTTTTTTTGAAATATAGAAATATATAAAAATAATTATTCATAGCCAAAATAATTTTCAATCTTTGCTAAAATAATAAAATAAATTAGATTATGTAGATCTATAAATATTTCAAAACTTAAAAATAGGCGGTCTAGATAAATATATTATTTTTAATACTTAATTTTTTTTTCATCATATCCACACATCAAGATGATCATTTGAGTGCATTATCCAATATCGTAAGACTTTCATCTAAATAATTTTTGAGGTGCGTGGCTCCAACCTTATATATAAGAGTGCGCCTTCAAATAGTGTTGAAAAATAAGGTTTTCAAACTAAAAATCTTTGTGATAGCTTTAAAATATATTTTTATTTTTAATTATAAAATATAAAGTTTAAAAAATAGTATAGATAGAACAGATCTCTGAAAACTTAAAAATCTAAAAAATTGACTATCTAAAAATGCAATACAAGATGCATTATTTACAAAACTTGAACTCCACTTTACTTCTGATGTCTATGCATCTTGATGTTGAGATGATCACTTTGAGGATATGTAAGCATCAAAACATCCTCTTTTAGTGAAAATTTTAGGATGGACTGTAATTTGATTGTTTAGGGCCTCGGCTCTATATAAATTTTTTCCAAAACAAGTTTTTTCTAGAAAAATGTGAAATTTGTTTTTAAGATCTGCAAAACAGAAGATGGGCGTCTTCGAGTGTCTAGGAGAACGTGTAGGGCATTTTAATCATTGTTTCTCGCAGTTGTCCCGCCAAGGGAGCGTGGCGTCGGCGTGTCTCACGTCAGGGCCGGCGAATCCAACTCCATGTCTAACCCTAAATGCCAGAAATACGCTTTTATTTTGTATAAAAGACATAAGCGTCCCTTGTGTACAACAAAAGCCCAAAGTACCCTCCAAATGCAAAAAGACACTCCTGACCACCAGGCAGCCAAGTAAAAGAAAGGGTATATAGGTCATTTTGTAAGAGAAAGCTGAGGGTGACAATGGAATTTAACGGGTAGCCTCAATATCGAGTTCAAGTATAGGTTTAAATTTTGGACTCGAAAGGTTGAGTTTGGGCTCAAAACTTAGACTCAACTCGAATAATATTGATATATGTGGATATTTATGCCAATAATTTGTTTCTTAAATTTTTTTTATTATTTCTTAAAATGATAAGAAATAGAAGTGTACTTAGGTATTCATAAATGTTGTGTAAGAATGTAAATGTTATCGACAATTTGGGTTCATAATAATAAAAAAAAGACAACAAAAATGAATTTTATAGTCCAAAGGTGGCAATGGACTTGATCAGCAATGGGTAGATCCAACCTCTACTCTAAATTTAAGTTCGAAGTTTGGATCCAAAAGACCAGGTATAAGTCTAAAACCTGCACCTGTATATTGTTCTGGTCCAAATTCAGCCGGACCCTAAACCCCTACCGTGTTTCCACCCCTAAGCAATCGTTTGGTCGGTCAAAAGAGTTGCGACCTTCTAGATACTTTTTCACGTACTTGAAGGTAATTTTGTCAACTCTTTTTATGGGGTACTCACTATGAGAGGTCAAATTAGGATTCTCATTTTTTTATGCGATTATTATTTTTCCGCGATTTTGTATATACTTCCACCCTCCAAAAAAAACTCTATTTACAGACTTTCACAAAACGCTTTTTTGCCCTATAAGTCCCTTCTGTAACGGCTTCTAAAAGCTCTCTGTGTCCCTAGGTTCTGATTTCCTGGGCTTGATCGGTTCCAGAATTTGCCTAATTTCTTCAAAGATCTATTTCTTGGGTTTCAGGGCGAATTAGGGCGAAAAATCTGTAAAGATCGACCCTTATTTTGCCCCGAAGCTTAATTTCTAGGGATCTAAGGGAATTTAGGGCAAAATTCTGGTGAAGATCGACCTGTTCGACTCTAGAATTTGATTCTAGTGGTTTGGTGGAAATTAGGCTGAATTGCAGCGAGGGTTGGTGTTTATTTGTTCCTTTTGGTTCAGAGATCGAGTGCTTGGGTTTTTGGAGAGAAAGTAGGCTTTGAAAATGAGCTTCCAAGACCTAGAAGCTGGAAGGCCTTTTACTAAGAGGACAGGAATGGCTAATGGAAAGCAGGAGCCTTCTCAGGCTGTAGCGGCTGGGGTTTTTCAGATTAATACTTCAGTTTCGTCATTTCAGAGGCTTGTTAATACCCTCGGCACGCCAAAGGACACACCAGAGCTTCGAGAGAAGCTGTAAGTGTTTCGCTTTAGAGTCTTGTTGCTCAAATTCCATTTTTTAAAGATAACCAAAATTCCTCTCCCTTTTCTTGTTCTTGTTTTTATTCTTGTTGGATTTGATTATTATTCCAATTCTTACTATGGTTTTGTTATTGGATTTATTAATTTTGAAACGGAGGGTTTCTGGGTTTAGGTCCTATAGATGTGTTATGATTTTTGATGATTTTTTCTCTTGTTCTTACACAACATATTCGTGCAAATTTTAGAGAAATTGTTACTGTTATCCACCTTATGAGTGCGATTTTGGCAAAAAACTTTCCTGGTCAAGATGTGCAGTATTGGTTGCATGGCCGCTAGTTCTTGTCTTCAGAGAAGTAAAAGTCATTGGAAAGTTGAATTATAATTATAGGAAATTAATAAAGCCATACTGCGAGAAATTAGGCAATTTTGCATATGTTTTCATCATTATGAACTTTAGCATTTTTTCCTTCAATCTGGATGGGGAATCAGTTAGTTTGTTGTTTCCCAATGCTTGCTTTCTTCCTTTCATTTTAAAGGTTTTTCATATGTGCATGTATAGGATAAGTGATGCTGGTCTTGGTTGTTGGGTATTAAATTGTGATCGAGGTAGTTTGTAAATGATCGCTACTAATCTGATTCCTGCAAAATTGATCCAAATGCAACTGATAAGAATACATTTTTCTTTTGGCCTGTTAACTTGAATTTATTTTGGATTCAATGATCCACATAGAGTTGGTTGTTCACATGGAAGTTAAGTAAATGCGGTTTGGCATGCTTTGTTAGGTTACCTTTGTTAATTTTGGGTGTCCTTATGTCTTAATAACATAAATCAAAATCTTACCCACCAAAAGCCAAAATGACATTGATCATAAGTTTTAACTGTTTTTGCGATGTTTGGTTTTGTGCCTTAGTGTTATATTGCAAAACTTATTTACATCAATATAAATGAAGCATCTTTGAGCTAGCTATTTTTTCTTGTTACTCTCCTGTGAATCAAGCTATATTGGTCTTCTTTCAACTTAAAAAAATTATATCTTTGGTTGTAATGTGCTTGTAAAATATGTTGCATGGCGATGGGTACTTGTATAAGTGTCAGACAAGGATACTGGTGACATGGTAAAAATATAAAGAGACAACGAAATCAAAAGTTGGTTTCTAGTATTCCATTCCATTATGAGTAGCTGCAAATTCAATTATGGCTTTGTTGGATGAAGTCATGCAGATTTTCAAAGGTCAAATGTCTACTCTAAACACAGAAAGACGGTCAAGCCTATATCAATTATGCATGAAATGGACAATGAACGAGAAAAAGAATCTATTGGCATATGTTGTGATTTGTGTTTGATACTTGTATGTACTCAAACTGACGAATTCATGCCACCTAGCTCGTAAATCCAGATATTTTGATCTATGACACCTTTGGGCTATGATATCATCTCCTAACTCAATTGAGATCTTATGGCAATTTATCCTAGAAAATGTGAAGACCTTGGGTTTTGGTGGATGATATATTAAACAAATTGAAAGACAAGTGAGAATTCGTTTAGCTATTGTCATTGCTTTTTGTTGCTCTTTTTTGAGAGATTTATGAGGCGGTGTCATCTTTACGTATATTGGAGAGCATTTCATTGCTAGTTGTTGGCATGTTGGGTGCCGTATACCATGGTTTGATCCTACTACTTTCTGAAGTCTTTGTTGTATATAAAGTGGATAAGACATCTTAGAAATGTAATGAACTGAGATTTGTCTGGGGCATGTGAGTTGATAATTGTCCTAACCATTTGGAACATCAGAAAATGAATATATCTCTGACATGAAACACTTTTTTTTTTTGAGCTAAAGATTTTATTGTTTATGTGACCTATTATGTTATAATGATCTTGTCTGTCAATTAGCCTGTAGGTTGGAAATTGTACATTATTGTTGACCTTCTTAAAAAAATGTTTCGCACTGCAATTAATTGGTTAATATTCTTGGTTTTTGGTAAGTTAGTAAGTTGTCTGTCTCTTTTTGTTGCTTGTAATAAACCCTTATTTCATTTGTCTGGAAGATGCTAGGTCTTTTCTGTATGTGTGCTTTCCAAAGGCTGGAGTTATTGCTTTTTGTCTTGTAAGACTTCGAAGTTATGTTGTTGCTTCTTCATTAGAATCTTTTTACCTTCATAGGCATAAGACAAGGCAACACATTGGCCAGTTGGTGAAAGAAACATCTGCTAAACTAAAAGCCGCTAGTGAAACTGATCAATATACTGAAGTTAGTGTGAGTATATTTCTAACCTTCTTCATTTACTTTGTCCCTACTTGATTCATTGAAAATTTATTCCCTACTTGATTCATTGAAAATTTATTATCTAATTATGGACAAATTATCCCCACTAGTAACATGTGAAGTATGTCTTATGGTCTTATAATTTGATTTTCTTCACAGCATATGATCATATGTTTGTAATGTCCTTGTGGTTTTTTTAGTTTGGAATATTAATTGCTTTCATTTAATTTCTGTGGCTACTGCTCTCCAATTTACTTTTGCAGTGGATTAGCCTACTTTAAAATTCTAGATGATTTACTTCATACCTAATTAAACTTACATTTTACATACAAAAATAATTGCAGATAAATCACCATGGAATCTAAAATCCTTCATCTTTCATTACTGGATGCTGTATTTTGTACACAATTTCCTGGATGTAGTGTTGTATGTACATTTTCTTCCTTTTTGTGTATTTCATGTGAGTGTGATGCATGAGTGAGGATTTCCCAATGCCTACTCTCAGTCAAGTAGGTGCTCACACCAATTAGTACTAATGCAGATATCGTGTTTGCGTTTGTATGAAAATGGTATGTGGTTCTCATATAATTCATATTAATAATTGTTTGAGCCAGGTCAGGTTGGACTGTGACGATTATGATCACTTAAGTCCAGATTAGGTTGCAACAAGTTACTGTAGAAGTTATTTCTATTTATGTAGGCAAGATCACAATGGATTGGTAATAGACACAATGGATTGGTAATGGACTGGCAATGATGCCTGCCAGCTTTAGCACCTCTAGGGGAGTAATCACTTTGCACAAGGGCAGAAGTCTGCTTGTTACTGAAAATTTGGGTTAATTTCAAGTATGATGTATTTCGCAACAAACAAAAACTAAAGCTAGTTATGTCATTTGCCTTCCGAGCAAATCTAAATGTCATATAGATGCATGAGCCCCAAATGGATATCTTTTATGTGATCATTTGGTGTATTTTCCTGTGTTGCCAGTTTTCTTAATTCAGTATTTATTTGTTACAGAAAAACATTCCCATGGTCTTAAAGGATGCCAAAGAATTTCTTATTTAGGCAGATGGCGGCCAGAGAGGTGCTGTCCATTGCCAAGGCCCTTTCACTCGATAATTTTACCACTGCATTTTGTATTTGATTGTTCCTAATGCTTCTATCAATGGTATCTGTTGTATAACACTGATGATGTATTTACTTTCTGGAGAATCACTGAACATAAATAAGAATTTGGGAAAGTGTACAGATGCTTCCTTTATGGCCTCTGAGGATTGCTTTAGGTTTCTTTGATATGGGCCCCATGCTAGGTGAGTTGTTCATTAGGTGTGTTCTGCTTTAGTATACCATGCTACTATACTGTGGTGTTGTAATTTGGTTGTGGGAAAGAAATATCTTGGAGCTGCTAAGTGACATGATGATGTCAAGTCTCTTGATACAGTTGTGTCCATTCATTGGGAAGTTGTATGATCTGTGTTATGAGGACCATGCTGATCATGGATCCCTGGCTTAACAAGGAGTGAGAATACCAATCTTTATCTTGAGGGTTGGCACATTTATTTGCGATGTCTTTTTGTGTGAGCCCAGTGTACCCATCTATTTTTGTCTGAAAGAACATATAAACAGAGACGGATTGGGTATTTAGACAAAAGCAGATGGACAACTTGGTGCATGCATTTCATATCACTAAACTTGTCAATTATCGAGAAGAAAAGGATTAAGTGTTTGATGATGTGGTTGATGTCGCCTAGAGGACAACAACAGCACCCCATTCTCCATGATTTCAGTAAGGCCCCTAAACTCTGCAGGTCCATTTGTTTTCCCACCACAATCATAGATTTGAAAAGAAAGGATTTGGAGGCCTAGAAGTGTGTTCACTGCTGTGTCAACGTTTATTTTGGATGTCCATTCCACATCAAGCAGTTTTCGAGCATTTTAGGAGATCTGAAAGGGAGTTCCTATTACATATGAGTAATAGTATAAACATATGATTGGTCGTAAGAGGGGCATTACATCATTAGGGGCATTACATCATTCTCTTTCTCCCATCTTTCTCTCACACGCTTCTCTTTCTTTCCACCCTTCATTCCCCTTCCCCTATCAAATACTTGCTGATTATTGTAGATTTAGATTACATTTTTCTACTTAGTATCAGATTGAGGTCCAGATTTGTAGAAGTTTGAGTCAAGTGGTTAAATACCGGCCATGTAACTGCTGGTTTCACTTGTACAGCCAGACAATGGAAGAATGTTTGGCAAAAAGAAATCCCAACAGAGCTATTTTTTGAAGATCATGGTGAAAACCTTCTTATATACTGTGTTTTTGTTTTAATGGAAGTGTTATATCTAAGGTTTGTTCTCTGATCTTAGTTTTCTGGGTAAGGTGTCAGTGGTTTAGGGTTTGTCGCCAAAGCCTAGGGTGGTTCGTGATCCATAGATGGGGGATCCAGCGGTTAACCAGGTTGCATAAATTTGTTCCTCCCTATGAGATGTCTGAAATATATTTATCGAGTTTTATTTTTTGGGGACTGATACCAACTGTCTGATGTGTATCGAATAGCCTTATGGCCATGTTACGTCTGGAATTTGCTGCCACAATTTTATAATCAACCAGCCAATGCACTGGGTAGTGCTTGTGGTGTTTACGTAAAGTATTTAGAGAGAAATCTGAAAGTGTATCCAGAATTTAAGCAACATTGTGATTTGTTTTTTCCTTGGGAAAGGAATAATGTCACAACGAACATTAAGTTCGAAGTACTCTGGACTTCAAATCACTTCATTTAAATTTCATGGCACAAACTATCTGGAATGGAGCAGATTTGTTAGTTCATTCCTTGGAAGTAGAAAAAAGTTGTGTTATATTGGCAGTCTTATAGTGAAGCCAGATGTGAAGGAGCCTTCCTGTGCTGATTGGAGGCTAATGAGATGATTGATATGAACTAGATTTTAAGCTCTATGCAACCGAACTTGAGTGACACATTTATGAATTGTGATACTTCAAAGGAGTTACGAGATGCAATGGCTGAAGCCTACTCACAAAAGAAGAATATGGGGAAAATCTGTGAGTTGGAGTAACAAATCAGTAATTTCAAACAAAAAGATTTGTGACTTGGTGACTATCATGCGGCTTTACGGGGTTTTTAGGATGATTTGAATCACTATCAACCTATAAATTTCTCCCATTGTGCAAAAGAGCATAGATAAAGGATGGATCATATTTGATCGTTTAGGGGGCCTCAATCCTGAATATGAAAATATCAGATCTAATATTTTGGGTGCAAAACTTTACCATCACTTAGAATAATTCTTCCCCTCCTCTAAGGTGAAGAAGCTCACCGAAAAATCATGCTTGTGTCGATTGGTGAACCTAAAAGATCTTCCCTAATTTTCCAATTCTTTAAATAATCATGGTGGTGGGCTGGTGGCTGTAGTGGTGGTCGAGGTGGAAGCCATAGTGGTGGCTGTAGAAGCTTCACAACTTATGAAAAGGATAAGTTAAAATGTATCCATTGTGGAAATTCCCAGTACACCAAGGAAACATGCCGGGATCTTGTTGGACACCCTAAATGCAATAGAACTCAGGCTTATGCTTTTGTTATTAATGAGGACACTAGTCACAACATGCCTCGTCAACAAGGTGTTGTTCGTTATCCATCGCGTAGCTGTACTTCCTTACATGAGGATGATTTTGTGACATTTTTTTTCAAGCGAGAGCTTCTTGACCTTGAGCAGCATGCGTCTGTTCGTGATCTTGAGCCCTCTTCTTCCTTCAAGTCTCATCCGTCAATCAGGTTCGTCTGCATTTGCACACCATTTTTCCATGACTTCTCAAGCTCCATGGAATGTTCATTAGGAGCCACTGAACATATGGCCGTTTTGTCCAATCTCTTTTCTACTTATGCTACCTAGTCAAACCATGAGTCTGTCAAGATTGCTGATGGATCCCTTGTACCCAATAAAGGAAAAGAGACTGTTCCATTAACTTCCTCCATAAATTTGTTGTCTGCTTTGCATGTTTCCAAGTTTTCTTTGTAATCTTACAAAAACTTTTAATTGCTGTGTAACCTTTTTTCCATCCTATTGCATCTTTTAGGACTTAGTGATGGGGAAGATATTTGGCGTGGTCGTAAGTATAGAGGGTTGTACCTTCTAGAGACCCAAAACAAGCTTCTACAGAAACTCAAACCACTGCCTTGTGACCGTGTCATGCATTGCTAATAAAGAGCGGGTGTATTTGAGGCACCCTCGTCTTGGTCATGCTCCCCTGTCTATTTTGTATTCCTCGTTTTGTAAAACTTGTTCTTCGTTGAGTCAAGTTCAATTACGATGTAAGATTTGTTAGCAATCAAAACATTGTAGAACTTCCTTTCTTATCAGGTATAAAAGAAGTGATTCTCCCTTCTCTATTTTACATTGATGTGTGGGGACCTTCCCTAGTTGAATCACTTTTTGGTTCTCGTTTTCTTGTTAATTTTGTGGATGATTGCACCAGATTAACTACACTTTATGTAATGAAATATGAAGATGAAGTTGTAACTCTTTTCCAAGTTATCATAAAATGGTTAGAACTCAATATACTACAAGTATTAAAATACTTCACTTTGGCAATGGAGGTGAATATTACTCTAAAGATCTCAAGGATTGCTTGAGGGATCAGTGTATGGAGTTCCAGACAACATGTCCTTACACTCCTAATCAAAATGGAGTTCTTGAGAGAAGAAATGGACACTTGTTGGGAGTTATTAGATCTCTCTTGTTTGAAATGAATATCCCAAAAGCCTTACGGTCTGAAGCTGTTCTTACTGTGTCATTCTTGGTAAATCGTATGCCGTCAAGGGTTCTTCAAGGCAAGTCTTCTATACAAACACGTCTTCTTGGTACTCCTTTCGTCCCGTACATCCCAAAGTTCTTCGCTGTGTTTTGCTTATGTTTTGGTTCTAAAATAGAGAAAGTCCTGAAGCCCTTAACTGTGTCTTCTTAAGGTATCCAAGAAATAGAAAAGCGTTCAAATGTTATGGTCCTATTTAATAAAGTTCACAATGTCTCTTTGAAAGTTCACTATACTTCTTCAAGGGGAGCATATTAGACATGAAGAGAGCAGTCCAGTATGACCATCTCTATCTTTTTCAACCCCCACTCCCTTTATTTATGAAGTCTCTAAGATGTCTCAAAATGAAGATGGAAATGCTCCAGTTGCAACCAAGGAGGAGTTGAAGGCATATGTTTGAAGTAAGAAGCTGATACAACTTTCAGTCCAGAGTAATCATGACTGAAGTGTCGACTTGGATCTAGGTAGTAACCCTTCTTATCCTACTACTACTTCATCTACCATTTCTTCACCTCTCAGTCCAATCCCGCTGTAAATTTACCTATTGCCTTATGCAAGGGTAAACACTCTTGTACACAATATGCTATACGAAACTTTGTATTTTATAATGTTGTGTCACCTTCCTGTCATTGTTTTCTATCATCTTTGTCTACTCTTAGCATTCCATCCTGTGTAACATAGGGCTCTATCACGACCAGAACAGAAGGCTGCGATGCAGGAGGAAATGCAGGCTTTTGAAAAGAACAGTACTTAGGAACTCACTGAACTTCCTAAGGGCCCATTTGTCTCCTCGGATTCAGATTTCTAGGAGTCACTTTTCCTAGAAAAGCTGGGTCAATCGTGTTTGGTTCGCTTAGAATTGACATTTCCATTGGAATTGAGATATCTGTGGGATACTGAATGCTCATTTTAAGCCTAAATTTTGGAAATCTCATTTCCACCAAGATAGGTGGAATTGACATTTCGTGGAAATGACCCATTTTGCTGCTGAAGAACAAAAAAAATATCAAAATTTTAGAGAGTGAAACTATATCAAATTTTAGAGAGAGAAAACATATTAAAATTTTAGAGAGAGTATACAAATTTTTTTTTTAGAGAAAATATACGATATTTTTTTAGAGAGAAAATACAATTTTTTTAGAGAGAGAAAATATACGAATTTTTTTAGAGAGAAACTATCTCAAATTAAGTTTTAGAGAGGCCATATTAAAATTTTAGAGGGAGAAACTATCTCAAATCTTAAGTTTTCGCGAGTATCTTAAAATTTTAGAGAGAGAAACTACATTAAATTCTAAAGAGAGGAACTACTTAAATTATTTTAGTGAGAAATATCTCAAAACATTTAGAGAGAGTAAATATCTTAAATTTTAAATTTTAGAGAGAGCATATTAAAATTTTAGAGATTAGAAACTATATCAAATGTTAGATAGGGAAATTATCTTAAACTTTAAGTTTTAGAGAGAGAAAGTATATTAAAACTTTAGAGAAACTAATATCAAATTTTAGATAAAGTACCTGAAATTTTTTGAGAGACTTTTTTTAAAAATTTAGATAGATAAACTATCTCAAATTTTAAGTTTCAGAGAGAGGGTCTATTAAAAATCTAGAGAGAGAAACTACTTGAAAATTTTTGAGAAACTATCTCAAATTTTAAGTTTTAGAGAGAGAAATTATCTTAAAACTTTCGCGAGAGAAACTATATAAAATTTTAGATAGAGAAAGTACTTGAAATTTTTAGAGAGAGAAACTATTTAAAAAAATTTAGATAAATTATCTCAAAATTTAAGCTTTAGAGGGAGAAAGTATATTAAAATTTTAGGGAGATAAACTGCATGAAAATTATAGGGAGAGAAACTATCTAAAAAATTAAGTTTTAGAGAGAGAAAGATTCTTAAAATTTTAGAGAGTAACTATATCAAATTTTAGTATGAGAAAGTACCTAAAATTTCTCAGAGAGAGAAACTATCTTAGAATTTTTAGAAAGAAACTATCTCTGAGTTTTAGATAGAGAAAGTACTTTAAAATTTTAGAGGGAGAAACTATATCATATTTTAGAGAGAGAAACTACCTGAAATTGCTTAGAGAGAAACTATCTCAAAATTTTTATAGAGAAAAGCTATCTCAAAGTGTCAGTTTTAGAGAGAGAGTATCACAAAATTTTAGCGAGAAACTACATCAATTTTTAGAGAGAGAAAATGTATAAAATTTTTAGAGAAAGAAATTATCTCAAATTATTTAGAGAGAGGCTATTTCTAATTTTAAGTTTTTGAAAGAGATTGTATTAAAATATTAGAGAAAATTTTAGAAAGAAACTATCTCAAAATTTTTAGAGAAGTAGAGAAAGGATTTGCATTTCCAAGAAAACGATATTCCAGGCAATCCAAACAGGGAATTTGCATTTTCTTGATTTCTATCGTATGCGATCCAAATAGCATCCACCATATTCCAGGAAAGGTCAATTTTAGGAAATCTCAATTCCAGGGTTGACTTTTCCCAGGATTAAAAATTCAGGGATCCAAACAGGCCGTAAAGGAAAGAAGGTGGTAGGATGCAAGAGGGTACTTACAATAAAATGCAGGGCAGATGGCAGGATCGAAAGACACAAGGCGAGGTCGGTTTGGAAAAAGTTTTACGTATACTTAGAGACATGGTATAGGTTACAAAGGGTCTTTTGCCTCCCCAGCGATGTTGAATACTGTTAGAATCATTCTCATTGGTTGCAAATATATCTTGGTCCTTGCGTCAACTGGATGTGAAAAATGCCTTTTTACATGGAGATCTTCATGAGGAAGCGTTTATGGCCATGCTTCCAGGTTTTCAGCTTCTAGGAGACTGGAAGGGTGTGCGGTGTGCCGATTGAAAAAGGCGACCTATGGACTTAATCAATCTCGGATAGCTTGATTTAGAAGATTTAGTAAAGCCTTGCTATGATTTGGGTTTAGGAGTCAAGCTGATCATGCACTGTTTGTACGGCAAAATAGTGTCGGGATTACAACACTTATAGCTTATATCGTTGATATTATAGTGTTAGGGGATAGCTTAACAGATATTGAAGATAGCGTATATCGATGATATTATAGTGTTAGGGAATAGCTTAACAGATATTGAAGATCTCAAATGTCACCTTAGTATAGTGTTTGGCGTAAAAGGTGATAACACTCAGCATATATCGTTGATATTATAGTGTTAGGGGATAGCTTAACAGATATTGAAGATCTCAAATGTCACCTTTGTATAGTGTTTGGCGTAAAATTTTTGGGTCCACGAATATAGTTTTTTGGGTATTGAAGCGGCGAGGTCAAAGAAGGGAATAGCTATCTCTCGGAGGAAGGCTGTGCTGGATCTATTGCAACAAATCGGAATGTTTGGAACTTGGACGTCAAATCAATAGATGCACCTATGTAAACCAATCATAGACATCATGAACATACGAGAGAGTTACTGAAGGATCCCTATAAATATCGGAGGTTGGTGGGCAAGCTTATATACCTCACAATTACATGACCAGATATATCTTATGTGGTGAGTATAGTTAGTCAATTCATGCATGGCCCTTGAAAACCTCATTTAGATACTGTTGAACACATCATAAAGTATTGGAAGTCATCTCCTAGTAGAGGGTTGTTGTTTACTTATCATGGTAATATGGGTGTTGCAATCTACACTAGCGCATACTGGGCTGGTTCACAGACTGATAGAAGGTCAACTACAGGTTATTGTACCTTTGTTGGTTGGGATCTGGTTTCTTGGAAGCGTAAAAAACAAATGTGGTGCCCAGATCAATTGCTGAAGCTTAATACAGGGCTATGGCACATGGAGCATGAGCTATGTCTTAGTTTGGAACTACATTTTTCCTCCAGGTGGCCATAAGAGGACATGTAAAATGGTGAAGCTTGTGATCCTTCCCCAACATACATCTAGACCACAGATGTATGTAAGATATGTGCCATCCCATATGCTTCTTTGTTTCAGTATCTTTTTTTTTAATGATTCGATATTTATTTATTTATTTTTGATGAAGATATTTGACATTTTTGTTGCATCTATCATTGAAAATATTTCAAGTTTCCTGGATGCAAATTCTCCTCAACTTTCATATGGTAACGTTTATGTGTCATTTGGTAGTTTCATTCTGATGGTCCTCTTGGGCCTATATTAGTTAGGGCTTTTGGCAAATTTTTATGCAAATTTCAAATGTTCACCTTTTTTTTCTTTAGGTTCCTATTTTTTGGTCGTACTGTGTGAATATTGAGATATTAAGGTTTCTTGACTCTGGATTCAGGCCAGCAAAAAGATAGCTGATGCTAAGCTTGCGAAGGATTTCCAAGCAGTTTTAAAAGAGTTTCAGAAGGCTCAGCGGATGGCAGCAGAGAGAGAAACTGCATATACTCCTTTTGTTCCCCAGGCTGTTCTTCCGACAAGGTAAATTATTGCTTGAGATCTTGCTTGTGCTTGGGCGTTGCACCATCCTGTGTTTCACTGAATTCCCAAAATAATTAATGTGGAGGCATCTTTACCAGGTTTCTTGATGTTTTCGGTGAAATGTTAACCTTCTGTATTTCGTGGGTAAAATTTGTGTTAGTTCCTTTTATGCGACAAGAATCTATGCTCCCCTGGGAGCATATCATGCATTCACTCCCTTATGTAAAAACTCTGTCTAGGAGCACCTTTAGGACTCCAAATTATGGAGGCTGTTATCTTCTCAACCTAGTAACCAAATTTTGGACTCTCATCTAAGTGTATAGGAACTGAAAATCGATTGTTTTTTAAGTGTGTCCCAGACTTACTGATCATGAAAATCTTCCTGAGTAGGTCTTTTGACCAGGAGAATGCTCTACATGCTCTTCTTTATTTCATTTATACATTTGCTTCTTTTTTTTTTATTTTAACAACGAAGATTGACATATTTGCTTGACGTCTTCTCCGTGCTTCATTTCTGCAGCTTTACCGCAAGTGAGCTAGACATAAGTCCAGACAAAACTCCTGAACAGCGGGCTCTTCTTGTGGAGTCCAGAAGGTGAACATTAGAATTAATCAAAAGAAAAATGAAATATTAAATTGGCGTATTGATTTTTTATTGATGTAGCAATCTCAGTTAGTCTGAATCTTATACTATCATTAATATCTTCAGATTTCAGTTGTTGAGAAGTTTTCGAGTTGTTTCTTCTTAAACATGTGCTGACAATAACGCAAAAAGCGTATAATTAATTCCACAGACAAGAGGTCTTGCTACTGGATAATGACATAGCATTCAATGATGCCGTCATTGAAGAGAGGGAGCAAGGGATTCAGGAGATCCAACAACAAATCGGTGAAGTGAATGAAATTTTCAAGGATCTTGCCGTTCTGGTTCATGAGCAAGGGGTTATGATAGGTATGTCTCTCTGTAACCCTCGAGGGTTCGTCATACTTGCAATTTATTAAACTGGGTATGCTATTATTTATCGTGAATGGATTGATAAATAAACATATGAAATGCTCCTGTGTTGCCTGCAGACGACATTGACTCCAATGTTGAGGGCTCCTACTCTGCGACTGCACAGGCGAAATCCCAGCTTGCAAAAGCAGCCAAAACCCAAAAATCAAATTCCTCTCTGGTAAAAAAAAAATGAAAAAAAAAATCTCCTGTTCAATCTTAGTCTTATTTCTTAGCTCATTTGCCTTGAGAATATTTCTCAAGCTGATGTTCACTGGTGTATGGAAGCAACATAACTTGTAATCCCATTTAACTGTTTCTCTTAGTTAACCTTGAATATGTAATAAATGCTGTTTATGTTTTTGCAGACATGCTTGCTATTGGTGATCTTTGGTGTGGTTCTACTCATTGTGATTATAGTCTTGGCTGCTTGATTGGCTTAATTCTTTTGTTGGATCATTTCTTAACCAAGAAAGGAAAAAATCAAGTTCCATTGGGTGGCACGGGATCGGAGCTCAAAGCCAGTGCTCTCCTGTTATTATTGTTCTCTTCATTCGGGTGCAAAGTTCTGATCCTTCATGTCACCTGTTTCAGTTTTAATGTTTATGATTTTCTTGTGTAGCTTTTGAAATCTGAGTTATATAAGTAACCATGAGTGGAAATTTGGTTGCATGTCTTCTTATGGAGGTTTGGGGTTGTGCAAGTTTTCTGTGTATTCGTTTCTTACTTGTTGATAATCCAGTCTCAATTCTGTTCAGTAAACAGGGACTAACAATGGTTTGAAGTCTTCCAGTCTTTATTTTTTCTTAACGAATATAAAATTCTTTGTTCTGTTCATGTCTAAACGATTCAGTTTCGAGTTGTCACTTGACTTGTCATCATCTTCTGGTCGCTCCAGTTCGAATAAAATGAGAAGAGTGGCCTTCATTAACTTCTCATTTTTCAGTTCTTTTTCGGTTTTAACGTTTTTACAGAACTTTAAAACAAAAAAGATGGGGGCCAGTCTGATCCAATCTGGTTCCAAAGGTTATACTGTTTGCTAGATTAGCAATTGGCACGTGTCATGCGCTTTCAAAGTAGTTTTTAAGGTGCAAAAGTGCATTTATGTTTCTGAAGCCAAAATTCTTGAAATTTAGGGATTGGGAGATTAGGTTCGGAATGTAGTCGATATTTTCAATATTAGAGGAAATCTCTCCTTACATTCAAACCGGCTATTCTTTAATAGAAAATTTTTATGGAAGGTTGCAACCTTAAAATGTAGAACTATGGATGTACCTCAAAAATCCATTGGAAAAGGTTGTTTTAATGTTGAAAAACCCTATGATTGATCATGTCGATATCGAGATGTATGACTATGAAAAATAAATTTATTTTGAGTGTGCATCTTACATCATATTATCTAGATTGTCTATTTTCAATATTTTCATGTTTATAGATCTATTTGATTTTAACTATTTTTGGAGTTTAAAATTTTATAATTAGATATAATAATGGATTTTGAGATAAACTTAAAAATATTTTACATCAAAATTATATGTTATGATAAAATTTGAAGGTGTGCCTTGATTGGATTGTTTAAGGTTGTTACTTTATGGAAACCACACTTTTCTAAATTTATGTATAGATAAAATGTTTATTAAAAAGAATTTGTTTTTTTTTTATTCTTTATTATTGTTACAATCTTTTTTCAATTAATTAGGGTCCGCTGTACCAATTTTGCTTTGCTATTTTGCTCTAGCAAGAGCCATAGCTATAAGTTCTCAAATCCTTTAAAGCTTATTTTCAATCACGTGCTTTTCGGTTATCTTTTGCCCTTTTCGAGCTTTCTATTGGAACTAACTTGTATCTCTTAACAAGTGTTGTACTAGGTCTGTGTCACACATGATCAGCCCATCTAAGTTTTCTCTCTTCCATCTTATCGTCAATTGGTGTTATACTTAAATTTTTTCGTTTGCATTCATTTTGAATTCTATCTCTTCTTGTCTTGCTACTCATCGACATCTCCCGACACTCATTTTATAGGTATATTTTTTTGTCCATCTAACCGTCCCATAGAGCAAAGCTGGTCTCACGGTTGTCTTAAGTTGCCCTTCATTTTCATTCGTATGCGATGTTCACGTAAAATTCTGGTTACAGATTTCTACTTCGCCCAATCGGATTTAATTCTGTGTACGACATCTTTCTCAATTTCTCCATTTTTTTGGATTATCGATCAAAGATATTGAAAGCGCGATCTTTTTGGTTCTTTTTCAACTCTCTCTTTTCTACTCCTATTATTACTAAACTTGTATTTCAAATACTCTATCTTAAATTTTATGATTAAATTTTTCCTTTTTTGAGTAAATTTTATTAGATATTACCGAATAAAGACTAAGGGGGAATTTCTTGTTTTTTCTTTTTTACATTTGAAAGCCTATATTTTGTAATTTGGGGATATATAAAGTATTTATGAAAAAGAGTTCATAAAAAATTTTAGAAGATGTTGCCGGATAAATTAGCAACAAATATATTTATCGTGGGAGGGAAAAGAGATTGAACAGGTTTGAAAAATTGGTTCTTCAAAATGTGTAGTCCTGTCAAATAAGTAACCTTCCTGAATCCATTTTCGAAGGGTCCCACTTTAACCTATGTATATTTGTAAAAATTTTGTAAAAGAAGTATTTATTATTGGAGGAGATAAGAGATTGAATTGGATCAATAGGTAGAATACCTTAAAACTCCCATTTTGCAGGTTTCCCATAACTAGGTATTACAGACTCAGTAGAGTGCTATCCAAACCCTTCAATGGATAACTTACCTTGTAGTGTCTCTCTACAGTGTCTCACTCTTATTGAATGCCATGCAACACTACTCTCTCACTTAGTTCGAATAGATCCAAAAGCATTGAACGAAATTTGATTGGCGTAATCAATAGTTTAACTCAGAGATTTAAAAAACGGATCGGCGATCAAGATTGAGCATTGTAAAAATCGGTCCAAATCGATGAATCGGCGGTTTGGATCGCGGTTTTACTGTGCAATCAAGGATTTGGTATTGAGGCGAGAGACCAATTTGCATGGAAGAGTTAAAGGGTTTGAACGTTAAAGTTTTGTCATCTCTTATAAATGTCATTGAAAGGGGTATTCGAAAAGCCCCTTCTTATTGGGTTTTATTTTATTTTATTTTGTATATTTTTTTTTGATAATTACACAGAGAAATGATTCTTTATTTATGGTAGAAATGAAACTCAAGATGGCACATTATGTGTCTATGTGTATGTGCGTGCGATGTATCTTGAAGCATTCACTCGAATATGTCATGTATATCTCCAACCGTTGGTGAATAGGGTTATCAACTACATGGAAATCTGCATATTCCCACAATCTTTTAAGTGATTTTTCTGCTTTAATTTTTCTACTCCTCTGTTCCATTTCTTTGGTGATTTATGATTCTTTTACTTTTCTTGAATTGCAAAGAATGATTTGTTCCTTATATTCATAAATTGTCTGGTCATTTGCCACCTGCAAACTGTTCCTCTTTGTTATTGGAATTCTGATGATGTTTCTACTTTTGCAAATAAGTTGAACAGAATCCTCCTTAGGCCAAGTTCAAATTTGGCCTGGTAATTCAGACTTTTGGATCGAATCAAAATTTCATATGTTGTACAAAGTAGAGTACTAAACAGTGTTTTTAATTTTAAAGTTTTGATTGAACCCATTTAGAGTTTCTAAGGAACTCAATTTCTGGATTGACCATGGCTTACTTTTGGAGTCAAACAGAGCTCATCTTCAACTTGAACGCAAAGGATGATGGTCCTACTCCCTTTGAACTATTAAATGCCACTAAATATTCAAAAAAACAAGAAGAAGTATTAAATGCAACTAACTAGGTAATAAAAACACTATGCACTCTAGATGAAGCAAACACACCTTCAGGATACAACCAACCTTGGTGAAGCACCATACGCTCTCTTAGTTGCACTTTTTCGAAACCCTTGAAAATCACAACTTCTTTATTGATTTTGTTTTCAGATTGGTTGAAATCTTCATCAACTTTGATTTGAAACAAATTTTACTGAGAACCATCGATTATGGCTCAAGAAATTGCAAGATTTTGTTTGCCTGTAGTGAACGAGCCTCCTAGGCCCGATGATTTTTTTTTGCCTATGAAGGAGAGTGACAACCGAAATTTTTTCCAACTATTTGGAGTTGGCTATAGAGTTAGCTACATGAATTTTGATCCACCATTCAAATTTTACGAATATCAATTAAAAAAAAATCAAAATTCAAAATGGCTTATATATAATTTTTAAGGGAATATTGCACCAATCAAGCTTTCACGTGCCAGAATTGACACATTGGCACGAGAAGATACCACATGTCTAACCACATAGGTGCATGTGTGCGTCATCATACCATTACACATGGATACAAAAGAGACAAAATGTGGGTAACAATGCAAAGAAAACTTAGACATGTTAACCAGGTTTACTGTAATCAAGCTGGCTAACTGACTGCGGGTAACTGTCAAATTGGTCCGAATTTCGATCATGCTATTACTCGTGATCACTTGGGACTTAAAGTTTCATTCAAAGAAACCAATATGAATTTTTATGATCTTTAAACCAATGTTGTCAAATTGGTTTCAACTAAATTACCTCATAATAGTAACCCCAATTAAATTATGGTTTACAACTATTTGTATACAGAGGTTTAATCACCAGAATCCTTGCTTTCTTAAAGTTCCTCTAACCTTGAATTAAGGGAAAATTTGATAATTTAAAAAAGAGATATCTTAGTGAAATATAGATAAAAAACTAAGGAAAAAGTTTATATAAGGTTGCAACCTTAAAATGTAGATGCATCTCAAAAATCTATTGGAAAGGTGGTTTTAATGTTGAAAACCCTCTAATTGATCATCTCGATATCGAGATGTATGAATATTCAAAAAAAAAAAAGTTTTTGTCCTAAAAATAGTACATCTTGTAACGCATTATCTAGACCGTCCATTTTCAAGATTTTCATATGTTTATATATCTACTAGATTTTAACCATTTTTGGAGTTTAAAATTTTCTAATTAGATATGAAAATAGTTTTTAAGATAATCCTAAGAATTTTTTACAACAAAATTATATGTTATAATAATTTTTGGAGGTGTGCCTTAATTGGATTGTTTAAGGTTGCAACCTTACAGAAACCGCACCCAAAAAATAATCCTCTAATGTTTATTGGATATTTTAACCTCCTTCATGGTATTGCTAGAAGATTTTATCCCTTAAATCTTCTAAAAAATAATCCTCTAATGTTATTGGATATTTTAACCTCCTTCATAGCCTCAAATTTAATAAGAACTTACTTGTTTGCATTTTCATGATATCAAGAGCCATAGAGTGGACCAATTGGAGATTATTGGATGTTTCTATTTAACTTCCACGCAAGATGGGAAGAGGATATGGTTGAAAAGAGGTTGGCTAAATTATTAAACCCAAAAATGGTAGCCACTGCAAGCATAATGTCAATCAATGTCTTGATTTGTTTTCTTACTGTGACCATACACATAAAAAGTTAGCAAAATTATTGAACTTGGGATCTCTATGGCCACAATTATACTCCATGGCTGGCATGAGTTCACGTGACATTTTTATCGGTACGAACCATGTATATATATGGAATCCATGCTAAGAGTTATCAAAAGTTTTGAATTTCAAATTTCATATTGCTGTACACTTTCTAATCTAGTTGGACAAGCATTATAAATTTTTTATTTTTGTTAAATAGATCTCCACAATCAAAGGATTACAACCTC